AGCACAACGACCCATCGGGCGTCGTCGCGGACCGGCAGAAGGAATGCCACCCGCATTCGGCGATGCCGTCGCCCGACGGAAGGTGGGTGCTGGTCCCCGACCTCGGCGCCGACCGCATCTACGTCTACGCCTTCGACGTCGAGTCGGGCGAGCTCAAGCCGCACGGGTCCGTGAAGTGCGAGCCGGGCGGCGGCCCGCGGCACTTCGCTTTCCATCCGAATGGCAAGTTCGGTTACGTCGTCAACGAACTGTCGATGGCCGTCACGGCGTTCGCGTGGGATACGGAGAAGGGCGAGCTGGAGCTGCTGCAAACCTTCCCGACGCTCACCGAAGAGCAACGCGCCGGCGAGGTCTCCAACAGCGCGTCGGAGGTGCGCGTCCACCCTTCGGGCAAGGTCGTGTACGTCGGCAACCGCGGGCACGACTCGGTCACCGCGTTCCGCATCGAGGCCGACCCGTCGCAGCTGACGCCGATCGACCTCGAGCCGATCCGCGGCAGCCACCCACGGCACTTCGCGGTGTCGCCGTCGGGCAAGTGGCTGCTCGCCGCGGGCCGGGATTCGAACACCGTCGCGGTGTTCTCGATCGACGGCGAGACCGGCGCGCTGCAGTGGACGCTCGAGTCGGACTACGTGCCTTCGCCGACGTGCGTGTTAATTGTGGAGTAGGGGTCGATGTGGGAGGGGTCTAGAGACCCCGATTACGCGCACCATGCCTTTACGGGACGGATACCGTAATCGGGGTCTGGAGACCCCTCCCACAACATCGGCGCGGACCCTACACCGCGCCGGCGATCAGCGTCACGTTCTGACCGCCGAAACCGAAGCTGTTTGACAACACCGTGCGGCACTTCTTTTCGCGCGGCGTGTTCGGGATGTAGTCGAGGTCGCAGTCGGGGTCGGGCGTCTCGTAGTTGATCGTCGGCGGCATCACGCCGTCGGCGAGCGTCTTGAGGCAGATGATCAACTCCGTCGCGCCGGCGGCGGCGATCAGGTGGCCCATCATGCTCTTGGTGCTGCTGACGGGCGTCTGGTACGCCACGTCTCCCATCGCTTGCTTGAGGGCGAGCGTCTCGACGCGGTCGTTCACCGAAGTGCTTGTGCCGTGGGCGTTGACGTAGTCGATGTCGGTGGGGTTGCGCTTGGCGTCGGCGAGGGCGATGTTGAGGCACGTCGTCGCGCCGCGCCCCTCGGGGTGCGTGTCGGTGATGCGGAAGGCGTCGGCGGTGGCGCCGTAGCCGAGCAGTTCGCCGTAGATCGTCGCGCCGCGCTTCTTGGCGTGCTCGTACTCTTCGAGGACGACCATCGCCGAGCCCTCGCCGAGCACGAAGCCGTCACGGTCGCGGTCGAACGGCCGGCTCGCGCGGTGCGGCTCGGCGTTGCGTTCGCTGAGGGCGGTGAGCAGGTTGAAGCCCGTCACGCCGAACGGGTGGATCATGCTGTGGCAGCCGCCGGAGAGCATCACGTCGGCGTCGCCGCGGCGGATGATCTCGGTCGCCTCGCCGATCGCCTGGCTGCTCGCGGCGCAGGCGGTGAGACAGTTGCTGTTGGGGCCCTGAGCGTCGAACATCGCCGCCAGGTAGCCGGCGGGCATGTTGGGCTCTTGCTCCAATTCCAATTGCGGGTCGAGCGACTTGATCCCCTCCTGGACGAAGCGGGCGATGTCGAGCTGGCCGCCTTGCATGGCGGCGGTCATCATCCGCGCGAACGACTCGAAGTCTTGTTGGCCTTCGCCGGCGCCGAGGTAGACGCCCATCCGCGCAGGCTCGACCGAACCGGCGACGCCCGACTGGTCCATCGCCTGCTTGGCGGCGCCGGCGGCGAAACGGGTGTGGCGGCCGCGGCGCTCCCACTCCTTGGCGTCGAGGCCGACGTCGGCGACCGACCAGTCCTTCACCTCGGCGGCGATCTTGGTGGGGAACGAGCTGGCGTCGAACAGCGTGGTCGGCCCCACGGCGCTCTTGCACGCCAGCAGGTTGCCCCACAGCTCATCGACGGTGTGACCCAGGGGCGTGACGCAGCCCATGCCGGTGATGACGACGCGACGCATGAGGTGGGAGGGGCTAGGGGTTAGGGACGGGGGACGAGGAGGGGCTGAGGGGCTAGGGGCTGAGGGAACGGACGGGAGAACGCTTGCGCGTTCCCTCAGCCCCGTAGTTCCTTAGCCCCTCAACTCCTCCTGATAAACAGCGCCCTGCCAAGTGGTTGTGGAGAACCTGATTATTCGGTCAGCGGGGCAAGGTTCAAGCGACGTGGGATTCCGAAGCTATGAAACCCTCGTCCCCCGTCCCTAGCCCCTCGTCCCTCACGCTAGTACCGGCAAATCGTAGTCTTGCGGCTTCATCCGGCTGCCGTCTTCGTGGACGCCGACTTGGAAGACGCCGGTGACGTAGAGCCAGCGGGCGAGGTCGGCGGGGTCGAACAGGCGGGGCGGGAGGCCCTTCTGGGCGGCTTCGGAGTCGGCCTCGCTAGTGGACAGCCGGGCGAAGAAGATTTCGGCCTCGGCCTGCTGGCGCTCGCCCTCGATGCCGCGGGCGGTGGCGGTCACCATGCACTGGGCGCCGGCGTCGAGGGCGCGGCCGATCGTGGCGTGGTACTCGAGCGATTCGCTCGGCCGCACCAGCGTGTTGAAGGACAGCTTGGTGAACTTCGCCAGGACCACCAGCTCTTTGAAGTCGTACATCTCGCTCACCAACAAGCCGGCCGTCTGGGCCATGCCCTCGGCGATGAGCGAGTTGGGGAGCGTCGGGTAGATGTCCCAGTGGCCGTGGATGAACTCGTCCGAGAGCGAGACGCCCTTCAGCCCGCGCGCGTGCGAGCCCGCGACGTACTCGGAAAAGCGGTCGACCCAGAACCATCTCATGAGTGGGGCGTTGTGTAAGTATTTAGCCCCCGGTCAATGACCGGGGGCTAAATGTGAAGTTGCTACCTCAAGACTTCGCCAGCTTGTATTCGACGAAGCCGCACATGTCTTGGACGGTGAGTTGCTTGCCGAGTTTTTGGACCTGTGGGTCCGCCTCGAACGCCGTGAGGTTGGCGAAGGGCATGCGTTCTTTGAGCTTGGCGATGCCGTCGGCGTTCACCTTGCCGTCGGCGACGTAGGCCGCGTCGGTGAGGATGTCCTCGGGGAACAGCTCGCCACGCTCGATCTTGATGTTGAACGCCTTCTCGAGGCGGAAGACGATGTCGAGGAAGTCGATGCTCTCCGCGTCGAGGTCGCCCTGCAGGGTCGCCTCGGGCGTCACTTCGTCCTCTTCCACGCCGAGGGCGTCCACGAGGGCTTCCTGGACCTTGGCGAAGATCTCTTCTTTGCTGGGCATACCGTTACTCGTCTTCTCGAAAATGAACTGAGGTAGTCGATGGCGATCGCGTCGGGTGTCTGCTTGCCGCGATGGCGCCGCTAGCTTTGTCCTTAAGTCGCGTTCCCGACGGGGACGCGGTTGAGTCGCATCACCTGCTCAATCGACCGCATGTAACGGACGACGTGAGCGTCAACTTCCGCCATGCTGGGATCCGTGTCGCCGAGGTTGAATCTTTCGAGCACCAACCGGCCGCTGAGGCTCGTGCTATCGCCGACCATGCCGCTGACCTTGAAGGTCGCCTCGCGGTCGTCTTTCTTCATCAGCTCGGTCGTGACGGTAAGCCGCGACCCGGGCCGAACGAAGTCGGCGTACTTGATGTTCTTGGCTTCTTTCAGTTCGATAACGCTGTGGGCGTAGTCCTCGCTGAGCCGCAGCAGCCAGGCCGAGGCCTGGGTCGCCGCTTCGAGCATGAACACGCCGGGCAGCACCGGGAACTCGGGGAAGTGGTCCTGGAGGTATTCCTCGGAATAGCTCACCTGCTTCGAGCCCACTAGGCGCTCGTCGGCGACGAACTCTTCGATCGTGTCGAGCAGCCAGAACCGCATCGGGTCTCTCGGGCGGAGCGGGGCAGACGGAGCGGGGGCGAGCGCCGCGACGCCGCCGGACAGTCGCGCGAATTTAGGCAGGATGGGTAGTCGAGCCGCGGATTATAGCCCGGGGCCGGGGCCGCTACAACGCTACCAACGGGGGCAAAATAAGGCGGCGAGCCGGCGACGTTAGTCGTCGGTG